AATAAAATGGGTTGCTATAAGTGTTTGCCGTGTTTTTTCATCAGTGTGAGAAAAAAGTCCAGGCACAGGAACATGAATTAAAATTTTCAAAATTTAGATTCTATTTGCATTTGATTTGGATTGGGAGAATAATTTACGAATTTTAAAATTAAAGCTGTTTCTGCAGCATTCCTGCATGCTTTTTTTCAAAATTGATTGATCCCCTGTTTTCAGCCCAAAAGACCGGGAAAAAGGGACTTGCACCAACTTAACATGTGACAGGCCGAGCCCTTTCCAAAAATCTTTTCACATTCTGCCGCCAATAACCCTTCACCAGTGCTACCCACCTCTAACACGACCGTCTTCGGGGGCACAGCTCACCCAGAGTGCTCAACATGGACTGCTCGTAGCACTTGCTAAGTTGTTTAGCTGTTTGAAAGGGCAATGGCCACACTTCACCAGGGGGCCAAGAATCCTCAGATGCCTCGCTCACATGTTCTTCTGCTGGGAGGCTGACCGGCTAGTCCTGCTGTCGCGGCTGCTTGCGATGGTTCTCGGTGTCCTTGGTGCTCTCCGGACTGCGGGCCTTGAGCATCTATTTCAAGGCTCGGAGCTCCGACTCCAACTCGGTGATGCGGTCGCGTTGACTGGACATCTCCCCTCCTCCTGGCTCATCTTCTCGTCGGGAATGAGCTCTGCTGTCTCCCATTGACTGTCTGGGGCTTCGCTGGAGCTGGCTGCACTGGGAGCTGTCACTTTGCGGCTCTGGGGCTGAAATGTCTTGCCCTGGTTCTCCGTGTTGCCATACAGCTGGATCAGCTGGTGTTTCTCGGGCTCTGTGAGGTTCAACGCCCAGGTCCCGAATCTTCTCAATCTCCAGTGACAGTCCGGGTTGTCCTCCATGGTGTGGATTGTCCAGCTCATGTAGGAAGGCGCCACTGCGATCACCTCCCCGTACCGTAGACTTGCATGCTTTCCGTATCCCAGATAGTCCCCCTTGGAGGGGGGGACCAAGTTCTCCATGTAATACTTCAAGAGGAGCGCCTTCATCTGGTCTGAGTTCGCATGCTTGGAGTATTCGATGTTGTGGCTGTCCAGCTGCTCCGGACCATGGCCTTTGTCTTGCACTTGTTCACCGCCTTCGCGGCGTCTCGCTCCGTCATCACCTGTGGTTGGGCCTCCTTCAGCTCCTCGATCCGAGCTTTGAGCTGGAGTTTTGTCCACGAGGACGGTGGGGGTTCCCCCAGCTCCTGGAGCTGCTTCTGCATGTCTGCCTTCGTGTTGGGGCTCGTGGGCATCTTGAAGAAACACACTGGCACACGCTACGGTCTGCACGGGTTCCTTGGGACCTGGAACTTTGAGCACCGACTTTGCAAAAGTACTTGTTGTGTTGGGCACAGGAAATCCAAGGCTCTTTAGATGTTGTTCATCCCTAGGGTCGAGTTTTGTAAGCCCTTGCAGTGCATAACCGATGAGCATCACGCGATCTCCTGACCAGGCTTGGGTTGCGTGCCATTGTTTTGGGTCAAAGGACCTGGGTGCATCAATAGGATACAAGTACCCTACATGAGGCTTGTCATTACAGTACTTGACTACTCTTCGAGTCGCGCCATCTCGTGAGGGACCTGCCAGCCACAGCTCTCCTCCATGATTTGGACGGACAATGGGGACTACAAGGTTTTGTCTACCCTGCATATTGAACACATCACGATGAGGAAGAGACTTAGTATTACAAGTAACACTGATGGATGTCACTTCCTGGTGAGGATTCCCTGTCTTCACAGCAAGCGCCAAACATTTAGCAACCCCAGGGTACTCTCTAGTCACTCGAGTTAACCCATTAACTCCCCCATGAGTGAACATTCCAAAAATCACATACGCATTAGGCCTACCATGTCTGCGCTGAATCCCTTGCAAGGTAGATCGATGCCGTTCTTTCCGAAGCTGAAACACATGCCAAGGAACCCCTTGAAGAAACTTGCAAACATGTTCATGACTAGGGCTTCCTTTGAGGACCTCGTGAGCTTCACATTCCACCTGACTTCTAATCTGCTTCCAAGAACCTTGGGGCTCCCTACTGGAATGGTCAAGGCTCATGTGGCATGTTCCTGTCTCCTTGTGGCTTTGATCGGCATCTTTAGGGGTGCTAGTACCGCTTCCGCAGGAGGAATCAAAATTCTGAAAAGACTCTGACGCAACAGATTTTGCATGGTCCTTCCGGTGGGCTACTGCGCCTGCTGCCCCCAGAAGGTGCTGTCCCTACTCTGCAGCAACGGAAGGGATGTGATTGCCTTGATCATCACGTAAGGTGCTGAACGGGGTACCCCTGCTCACAGACCGCTCCATCACATCCCCAACTAATGGAAAAAGCTGATGTCCACTATCAGTGGTTTCTAAAGAAACCACTTTGCGTGGGTCGAGGCGCCTAAAAATGGCTTCGTCCCTTTCAAAGTATCACTGCTCCCAGTGATCGAAGGGACTTCACACTTAGCAGGACTGGTTGTCCTGGGATGTCGTGAATGTGGATCTTCATTTTGCCATCCACCTGTTTGAACGGAAGCCTCAGGAGAGCAGTTGCCAAGCAGTCATGTTTGGCATTGTTGCCGAAACGGAAGGAGGGAGTCTCTCCCATCACAATCTGGATGCCGTCATTGCCATCCTTGGTCCAGTTGAGGTGTGCAATCCGCTGGAGGGCTTCCTCCCCAGGCTACTTGTAGCCCCGCCATCTATGATTGCCTTGCCCTCCTGGATAATGTTGGAAAGCGCCAGCAGATTGTGCTCTTCCGTGGTATCAGCAGCAAACACCTGATCCTCCGTTTTCACATGCCACTCTGGCTCCGCAGCTCCAGACTCACAGGCAGTGAACACAAAGTTCACCCTTGACTCCGGCTCTTTAGTTCCAGAGCTCTCTGGGCAGTCTCGGCGAAAATGAGGACCACCACATCTGAAGCATTTTGGCGGGGGCCTATCGCCCTTGCCTTTTCCACTGCCCTTTGCTGGGAAAAACCTCCGGTTCCGCCGCATCTGAGCTTGCTTTTCCCTGGCATCGCGCAGTGTGCGCTTGGCTTCTTGGAGCGCAGCGAAGGCATCATGTGCCTCTTCTGCCTGGGCCTGATAGGCATACTCATCCTCAGGATCTTCCCACTCCACGCTTTCATTCTCATGCCAGGGCTCTTCATCTGCCAACATGGCAGACTCCTCCTCAGTAAACATGGCGGAGTGTTTTCCTGAGTCACGATGCTTCAGCTCCTCATCAGGCCATGTCAGCTGCAATGCCTCTTTGACTTTCTGCATGCTGAAATCGTGCTTAAGGTTGGCCACAATCACACTCCGTTCTGTGGCATCTAGTCCTGATCGCTGTAGCAGAAGCCATGCAATCACAAAATCTGGTAAGAACCGCTCAGCCTGTGCAGAGGCTGCCTCTGAGGCATCCCACGAAGCATGACTGCCACTGTGAATGGGAACTCCGGATCTCCACGACTCACCATAGTTGGACGCGCTGTCCCAACTCCAGTACTAAGCAGAGCTGGACCGCCACCAGTAAGGCCGCCATGTGCTCCATTGACTGCCTTGCCAGGAGCTCGTTTCCCCTTGCAGGTCCTGCTCATTCTCACTGGAACGGCCTGCCGCGCTGGCACGGCCTCCGTTGAGTCCTTGAGACCCTGGAGCCTTCCACCCGGCCTCCCACACTGGCGCCGGAGGGGTCTGTAGGCCTGAGCCATATTCTTGGATTGCTTCTGCCAGAGTCCTTTTGGCTTCAAGAAGAGCCTCATCATGACGAACAGTCCAGGCAGTCATCCCCTCGCCCCTACGCCTCTTAATGCCGTAAAAGAACCTTGCCATTGTCCTGCCAGCTTCTGCTAAGGTTGGAGCCCTCACCTGCTTCTTGAGATAGGCGAGGAGCTGCGAAGCACCTTTGTCGTGAGAGATCCAACCAGGGCCATATGTTCTACGGCCATCTTGGCGCTTCCTTCAAGCGCCGCCTGCAGGCGAGGACCCACCAAGGATCTTTTCTTCCATTCAATGGTTTCAGCATACGTCAGGGCAGCCCGGTGACAAGCCACGTACAGTTCAGGAGATCCATCGTAAATAGGTACTCCATCTTTACTGAAGCGCAGCTCTGTCATCACTTCCAGTTGACTGAACTTCCCCAAGCTCAACCTTCCAGAATGAATCCCTGGAGCCTGCCCAACTGCTCTCAGCTGGGACAGGCTCCGCTACCATGAAAGCGGAATGACGTGGCTCACTGGCTACAGCACACGGAAGGCTCTCTTTTCCATCAGCCAAAGGTGCTCCGTGCAGGCAGCCTGTCAAGCGCATGCCGAAACTCAAGCTACAGCTTGCAAGGGGTTTAGGGTTAAGGGGGTTCAGAGTCCTGAACCCTCAGAAGCATCATGCAGAGAGGATTCACGGTTTGCTTACTGGGGAAGTGGATCCCGTCGATCCAGCGAGCCCTACAAGTGTGTCTACCCAATCTCCACATCTACCACTTTCATCGTAGCTATCTTCACTCCCCCAATCCCCTGTAAGTTCAAAGGGCTCGAATGGTGGGATGAAGGAAGGTGGGATATAGGAAATACGCCCCAATACATATTAAGGATCCTTCAACCCACCTACCTTCATCCCACCTTTTGAGCCCCATGATGAGTTCAGGGGTCGAGCTTTGGGTTCTCTCGCAGTTTCCCGGAAAGCCCACGTATACCTGCCGGATTTTCGAAGCGTTGCTTTACCCGGCTTAGCTATTGAGAGGTTATAGCAGGCCAGTGCAAAAAGGCACTTATCACCCCATGTGCAACCTAGTTACGAAGCCCAGCAAGCCTTCAAAAGAGGCCCCAAAAAATCTCCAAGCCCCAAAGAACAGGCTTTCTGGGCTTGGGATGCGGTACACTCATACGGCAAAATAAAGACACCCTCCCTGATAGAGTACCACAATATACTCAGGAGAAAAGCACCAGAATTGGTTGGGAGGGGGTGTGGAATAAACCATATTCAAGGAAAGCTCTGTCGCCTGAGCTCGGGGCTTATCTGTTGATGCTCCTGCCTGCGTTGGTTGGTACGGACTGATTTCCAGGCTCGTACCAGGGATTCAGATTGGTTTCGGTGCGTGCTATAATACTAGAACCACATAAAAAGTTACAAGGGACATTCTTGCCCATGTATTCAAAACAACATTGCAGATTTACCGCTTGGGATGTGCCCGGCGTGGGATGTATTCTTAAACATCAGGGTGCAGGAGGTCGAGTTGGTCTTCATGGCGCATGTACGTACTGTAAGGGTCTAAGCTTCCAATAAAACCTTGGGGTACATTAGACTTGTGACTACACCCCTGAGCCCCGACTTCCCTGCATTTGGGCTTAATTCCTCAAATCCTGGAACCGACACAACTCTCTGTCGCAAACCCCAAACCCTACAACCCTAAACTGTAAACCCGTAAATTCACCAAAACAACAAAGACCAAATCCGAGGCCCTTCTCCCCAAACGGCGGTTTCTGAGAGTGAGGGAGCGAATCACTTAAAATGCTCCCTACATGAGAATCTACAACAATGAGCGGCCTCTTTTTGGGAGTCCCGTAAAAAGGGTTTGGTACTATGATGTTGGGAGCAGATAAGAGGGTGCCCATTTATTGAAATCCCCTCTTAATCCCGGGAATCGTTGCCATTTTGCTTCCCTACTTCCCATCCTTAAGCGCACGTCTACGCAAACCAGCAAGCAGAAACGCTGAATCCCAAACAGTTTAAACCAAATTCAAGGCGCCCAATGCCCTTAACCAGAATTTGAGCAAATGCATCGCAAGGCTTATCGACCCATAATTTCTACAACCCTTGTCCTTAAGCTACGTATCATCAAATCGCGAAGTGGGTTAGATACGAGGGAAATTGGGGACCCCGCGCACCTGCTGCAGCTTTCTCTTCTGCGCTGTGTGGAGCTCTCCCAGCTGAGCCTACGCCACAGGGCGTTTTCTCACAAGTTCCATAGGAAAATAGAAGTTACGCAGACCTATATATATATATATACACATACATATACACACGTATGTAAGGATGCAGAAGGACATATGCTGACATCTAGGGATGCATCTTTGTGTTGATATGGACCCACAAAGAGGAGCCCCTGAAGCCTGGGGGGCCTCAGAGTCTCTCAAGAATTTCGTGTAAAGAAAACGCACACCTACCTTTATCTTGTACCAGGAACACCTTCATTGAAAGGAGGAGGAGAAGGACAAAGGGGAAATGAGGGTGCAAGCGGAGGATGAGGAAGAGGCGGCGGAGGAGGCTGTGTGGACAAGGGAACACGGAGCAAATTGCAGGTGTCGTGTGTAAGTTGGAAAGGATGACAGATGATATGGACAATTATACAAAATGGTGCTCGACATTGCTGGCGAGGAGAAAGGGGGTGATGATGGGGTGGAAGAGGAAGATGTTGATGCGAGCGACGACTAAGAAGATGACGAGAAAGTTGTTGACAAAATGCTGACCGTGAAGAATAACGGGGCAGATCTTGCCAAGATCTTCAGGGCCAAGATCGCATCGTACACCCACGAAGCCTGCTCTCAGCCTGGGACTGTCACGCCGAGTCCCAAGACCCATATATAACCCCAAGAGAACCCTAATATTACCTATCAAAATATAGTACTTTCCATTTTCTTTTCTACTATCCCTATATAACTCCAATATAACCTCCCAAGGAGCCGGAGAAAGCTGGTGTGCCGGTCATTCTCGACAAGGGGGATGATGCTTAGTGGCTTGTGCGCTGCCATCCATTTACCCATGAGAATACGATATGAGAGATTACGTGCATTTATATGGGGTTATCACACAACTTGCAATTCGTACCTGTGAGCCTTTAGCCGGCAATACGCCAGGGACGCAAAGAAAGTAGGAACATTCATCGTGAATTCCTTGAAATCGCTGCTCCTTTTTCGTGGGGATCATTCCTAGACCCTGCATGCGGGCAGTCTATGTAACCAATGGATCCCATCATTGGGTACATGGACCCTTAGGAGATGCAGAGTTTTGGGGGAGAAGCATTCCGTGAGAAAGCGACAGTTGACGGACACATGGTTTAAGGCTTTGGGAATAGGGTTAGATTGTTAGATTTCAATTTATGACATCAAGAAGTCTCAGCAATCAACATAGTAACATTGTGAGTGTACTACGTTACCATAAGCCCCAATGTTTAGGTGTCTATAGTCATGGCGGATTGTGTCTGCCAACAGTAGAGCATCAAAATAAATATGCAACATATTGGCAAAAGCGATTAATTAATCACCACACTTCGGGAAGGAAATCCTGAAATACTTGCGACAAGTCACGGCAGAACACCTCAGAACACCTATGAACCCTTGAGAGTCCAGGTGCTTATTGATCATCTGATCTACCCAAGCCAATAGTACAGTTCGCGAGATCAAAGGCACTCCTTGGGTACTTGGACTACTCATGCTACAGACCTCATGACACGCAAGTACCACCCACATTTTGCAAACTATATCAGTACCAAAACCCTTTTTGCTCCAACCAAAACCCCGGCCCCAAGGCCCAAAACTTCAACCCTTAGGCCTCAGTGGCAAATCATCAATACCAAGCCCCACGCAACAATAAGTCCAAAGCCCTGAACCCTTATGCGTGTTTCTTTTAAAATACTTTTTTTGAGATGCCTATGTATATATCCCTAGAACCAGCTCATAGGGTCCCCAATACGACTCGATTTCATCAACAACTGGTTGCTTGGAAGAAGCCTAAATTAAGTCACCATATCATGGGTATGTCGTGGATAATAGAATTTCCTTATCTTAGTGAAGTTATATTCCTTGACAGCAACCCAATTAACCTCCAGGCGCACCTGCAGCTCTTGTTGAGCTTTAGCACGCTTCTTGCGCTCAGAGCGTGCCTCAGACAACCATTGCATCGCCCCCGTGCTACGTCCCCCAAGGATTCAACCAAATCGAGCTCGTTCAGATTCATGAAAGCTAGTTGAGGGGGAGGAAAGCCCCTTCTCAATAAGTCTAATCAAAATACACTGAGATCTAGTTGAAACGGTCTGGCATCCCTAGAATAATGGATAGAAGTTATCCTTGTAGGGGGAAAGGGTGCTGAGTAGGATTAGGGTTGGGATTTAGGCTTCACCCTCTCCAAGCCGACCTGAAACCAGAAGGTGCCCTTCGCAGACTGCTGCAGGGGCCTAAAGAACAGCCGGCATCATTTAGAGGTCTATTTGAGGTACCCTATACTGCAACCATACGAGGAATCTACAATTAGAATATGGGTAATTCTGCAGACTTCTACACCACTGTCCTTCGCAATGGGTCAGCTAGCTGATCCCTTCGAGGTCCTCTATCAGTCCACCTCATCGACAAACCTTCCCCAACATCTAGACTGTCTCAAGGGCCTAAACTATTCCCTCCAATGCTCTTCATAATTCTACCTCCCCAACAGACCTTCCCCAATGTCTAGAATGTATCAATGAGCCCTAGTTAAGCCCCTTAAACCCACTCAAGCCCCCAAATCCTGACTCTCAAAGCCTGAAACCCTATACCCTCGTGAACTCGACCCGAAACTCGTAGGGGTGAACATTTCGAGGGCTTGAACCGTCTACACCCCAAAACCTTTCCCCCAGCTCCCCTGTCATTTTCCACGCGCTATCCAACTTGACTCTCCACCCGCCTGCGCTCTTGAAACTAAGATGCTAAATCCTTTAAACCCTAAGCCCTAATCCCGAAACCTCAAACTGTATTCCCCAATCCCTAGACCTTGATTCATGATGGCCGGGCTCCCCCACGCTGCGGCCCTGGCCCAAAGGCGCTTTGCGCTTGGAACGCTCCTGGGCCCTGCGTGGCACAGCATGCCCAAAGGGATTCGGACAAGTTTAGAATCTATGGATTCGATTGGGGTTTAGGGATCACTACATAGTGATGCGATAGGAGGGGTTTTCGGATTTTGACCGGGCATACCGTGTTTAGGATGTAGGGGCTCAAAACATCAGAACAAACCACCGCCACTATAACAATTAGTTGTGATTTCTTATCTTCTACGTTCCAGAGTCCTTCTCTGATGCAAGCAATGAAACGCCATGAATTAAAGAGAAGTTCCTAATGCATTCCCATGCAAAGTCTTTTCAATGCTTGTAACATCAACATCTAGTGGTAGGAAATAACCAGCACACCCAATGCCTTCAAATCCTTTGCTATGCCTCCCCTGAACCTCAAAACACCTGCCAAATCATTATGATTATGATTTGCAGTTGGCACGATCTTAAACGCAGTCTTGAATCTGGAATGCAGTTAGGCTTCACTCAAAAGGCAAGACCATAAGAGGTTGATTCCTAGGGTGCAGGAACCTAACATGGGCTGTCACAAAGCGGAGGCTGCCGTGAAGACCCACGGCGCATATATATATATATGCATATATATATATGTATATATATATATGTATCTGCATATATATATATATATACACACGCAGAACATATCAAGGGTTCCTGAACTGTGTCCCTGAGGTCGTACCGTCAAGGGTTTTTTCCAGTATGGCCCCAGTAGGGGAACAGCCCTAGGAGCACAACCTACAGCCCTTGTTAATCTAGGGCTCGATTACACGCTTCCATGCAAGGATTACATGGGAAGCAGTATTCAATAGTGAAAGGATGTGAGTTCCTCCCAACCCTAAAGTTGGATCCTATTGTGATCATTACTGCGAAAGCTCTGGGATCCTTATTATAGAGGTTGGGGTAACCAATTTCCTCTTCGTACTGAAGGGATGATTTAGAAGCTCTTGTATTTGGGATGCCCCCATCCAAATTAATCTGAGCGTAGCGTTATCTGTATGACAAGCTACAAGATGGAACCCTGAAGCTTACGTCCTACATGCTAGATCCTAAATCTAATGCTACGCCTCAAACCCTAAGCTTTCGATCTCATCACGTCCTCTGCTTCTTGGCCTCATGGTTGCGGCTTTCAGATTCAATGGGGGCACCTAAAGCCCCGAAGTACCTTCTATAGACCCAAAATACTCACAAGAAGGACCTGCGTACAGCATGTTTTAAAGGTGGTAGGTTTGTTGTGGGTTTGGGGTGTAGAGTGTTTTGGCTCAGGGTCTAGGGTCCAGGGCTTAACCAACTCATAGCTGCAGCAACCACTTCCAGTTTAGGCAGCAGCATTATAATCATGCGAAAAGCCCAATAATGACAACAGACTATCTTCCAAGAAATGTTGAGACTGGAAATCACGCAGGCTGCCATGCATTGAATGGTCTGCTCAAGCCTGTGGGTAGTTATGCTGAACAGTGCGTCTAAGAGACTGTCGGATAATGCCTGTTTATAACTTAGGTTTTGCTGCAATGTGGGGGCCTAAATAATGACGAATATCAGTTAGAGGTCTATATCAGATACCCAATACTATAATTACCGTTTTGAAGGCCATTTTAGGGCAAGTGCCCGGCAAAACGCCTTTCGGAAACACATCTCACTGTCTAAATCTCATTGTGTTGCAATTTCAAGCCAAAAGTACCTAAAGAATGCGGCTCTGGGTCTCAACTTTGATCATGTAGGGCCTGAGTAATTGGTCTATTTGAGATACCCTGTAATGACCACAATTACACAAAGGATAGAGCACCATAGCGTTGGCAATTATTTCGAATGCTTGGGTTCCCTTAGACACGGCACGTCAAGCAGGAGCCTGCGCTAAGCCGGCTCTTGATGCGCTTGCAACTTGCGAGAAATCCAAAGCATAAGCCCCTTCGGAGAGGGTCCAAATATCAAAAAGTCAGGTTCCTCTAAGGTGATCTAGGGGAATATAGGGATGTACATACATATATACACACATGAACGTACAGGGTTAAGGGTCCAAGTACACAACAATGAGTTACTCGGGGTTCGGGAAAGAGCAATTATAGCGCAGCTTAGGGTAAGGCTACAACACTTGGGAGCCGCAAGGCTTTTGAACACTAGACAATTCCGAGGGTCTTTTTTATTGCACGCTCTTTTCCGTGTAGGGTTGAAGGCTTCTCTTGGGCCCCGAAATATGGATATCGAAGCCAATGTGGGCCCAAGTATGTACTAAGCAGGCGCATGGCCGGTAGGAAAAACTTAAGGACCCCCTGAAGACACACAAAACCCTAGACCCTAAACCCGACCCTAAACCCTAAACCCTCAGCATGCCAAGAACAACGTAATCTACGGATTTACTTTGCATACCGTCCCCACCCTACACTCATCAAACACCATATGAGCTATAGTCTGAAGTAGTATCCCCCTTAGTAAGGCCCATGGTAGTCCCCTATATAATCCCCCATAAAATCCCCTCTATGGCGTTTAGATTATGGCTTCCATTTATGATTTCATTACACCTTTTTAATGAGGGTCCTATGTGCATTTGTTGTAGGGTGGCGGCAGCATCCAAAGTGTACCAGTGTACCAACATCGAAGCTTTTTTGGGGGTCTATCCCAAAGTTGGGCTACCCTTCGGGCTGCAGAGGTGTATTGGGAATATAAAGGGCAGAAGAGGGTGGTTCTTTTTCAGGATAATACAGAGGTTGTTTAAAGGACCTTGCCACCCTGAACCCTATAAACCCTAAACCCGCCTGTATGGGGACCTATTGCCAGACTATGCTGGTGACTTAGGTCAGTCCAAGGAGAGCTGCCTAGGGTAGGTTTGGGCCCTATGAAAATATGGTCTCTATGGTTTGATGACAATATAGTGGTTGTACTGGAAGTCAAAAGTTATTTGCAAACCTGCCGCTGATACGGTCCGATCACCCTGCAATTAAAACTTGCGTTGGCGTAATAGTACGTGTAGTGCAGACATTTTTTCGAAGCACAAGCTGGTCCTTAGACTTTTGACATACCCCCCATTGTGCAGGCCGGCTTCAAATTTGATTTGCTTCGCTCGTAACCATGTAAACCCTACATAGCTGTAATCGTAATAGTGGTACTGCTGCTAATAACACATAAACATGATAGTGATAGTTGTAGCTAAAATCGTTAACGCTCTGAAAGAGAAGCTGTAAACCCCTGAAACGAGCCAAGGCCACGCCAAAACCCAAAGCTCGCCTCTACCCACCCAAAAAACCTTTTTTGCTGTAGGATTGCTGATGCCCACCCTAAGCCCGACCCGTAAAACCCAAACAGCACACCTGCGCCTGTGGCAAGCAAAGGAAAACAGAATCTTCAGAAACTTGAAGGGGGCCTAGCAACTCATGTGCTGGAACCCCCTGTGTACAACCACCCGCAATCCAGCCCGCGGGAAAAGAGGAAAAAATCACCTTGGGGGCAAAAACAACAACAGCTATACAGGTTCGTGCTCGCACAAAAGGTACCGGAAGCCTCAAGCCTCCAGGCCCCTTCTCCCTCCTTCTTGCAGAGAGGGGGCCGGAAGCGAGAAAAATGCAGTGACAGGGAGTGCTGGAGGGGCGAAGGGGGCCGTCCGGGAAGGACTTCCCACATGGGGGACGGCAGTGCGGACAGGCAGAAAAGAAGGCCTATCGGGAGCCAAACCCCCAAGCAGCCAAGCCAAAGACGCACCAGCTTTCTGAGGATGAGCCAGCCCGCTGCATGCAACCGCCGTAGTCTCGGGCATGCGGCGAAGCACTGCGCGAGCGTTTTCCCTTTTGAGGGGTTGCGCTGAAGCTCTGCAGGAGGTGCTCCGTAACAGAGGCTGGCAGGTCGCTAGTTCGGCTCGCCTGCAAGGAGCCCAGATCCCGGAAGGTGTTGATGGCCTCCCGCCCCCACCTGCCGCAGACAGACTCAGCGACGAGAGGCACGAACCCAAACATAAACCGGAAGCTCTGCGGCCTTATTTGCTTTCGTTAGCAGGGAATGAAGAAATGGCAAAAGATGCAAACAACTACGCACTAATGTAGCAGGGACGACTATCATGATCCATTCCTGCATTTCTTGCTAGCCAGGGGTAGCCCTAGCCCCCAATCCTGACTTCTAGAATGCTTCAGGGTTGAGCGGTCAAATTCCCCAAGCTCCGCACCCCTAAGCGCCTCCCCAAACCCTCAAATGTGTCCTAAGCCTGAAGCCCTAAACTTGAAAAAGTGTCAACCATGGGCTTGTAGGCTTGGGCCCCGGGCGGCGCGGCGGCCCATGATGGCCAAAGCAATAGAGGCATCTGCTTGGGGTACTTGAAGGTGTAGGGTTCAAGCTTCTGGGTTGTAGTCATTCTAATCACATATACCTGTACCTAGAACTGAATAGAACTCAGTCACCAGGCTCTACGTACCCTTGCATTACATGGCTGCAATTGGGGTTGCGTCTACACTTATCGTTGGCATTAAAACTGCTCTGAACCGCCAAGTAGGCTTACTGTATCGTGGTAGGGCAGCGCTTCGTGAGCGCTGCTTCCAAGGCATGTAGTTGGGTTGAGGGATGATATATAGTTTATATGTTTATATAGGGGTTATTTGGGTGGAAGGGGATCATGGAAACAAAATGGAAACTACTGTATAGGATTTAGGGCAGCCGTTTTGGAGTGTAAGTCTTAGGGTTAAGGGGTAAAGCATTTTCCAGCAAATAAGGCCGGGAGCACAGACATCGGATGAATCCAGGAACTGTTCTTCATGTAACAAGCATCAGAAAGATGAATCCTAGCTCTACTCATCACTTTCGTTTTTTACGTGCACTACTCTCGTTCACCATTGTACCTGTAATGGTTTCTCCTCTCAAACTCACCTGATGGTTCAATGATTTGTTGTCGCAGTGCTTTCTCAAGCCCAAAAAGCTTTCAGGTACGTCGCAGTACACATCCACAAGGAAGTCTTGTATCAGACATACTATGTTTGTCCATACTACATTCGTCCTTAAGGGATACTTTCGGATCCTAATCATCTAATATGTATCGTTTGAGTGAGTACATCCTTGAAGCCTTCGGATATATGTTTAATTTGGTGGTAGATAGGAAGACGCCAGCATTCCATCTGGCACTGCCCACATTCATGCGCTAAGGAACCTGCTGCGCACCTTGCAACATGCCTGCTTGGGTTTAGGCTCTAGGGTTCCGGAATAGAAGACAACTAGTAACAGCAATAGCCGCAGTAGCAGCAACAATCAGATTGATCATCTCTATGTGTAATCATAAGAGCTACAAGGCTGTTTCATCAGATTTCCCCAAAAGAATCCTAGCAGGGACCCCTAATATCTGCATGCAACCTATATATACACATATTTATGTAGACGGAGGCGTGAAGGTGTCCATAAACAAGGTGCCCCAATCTAGACCCTGAAATGCCATAATCCTCAATACAGGCTCCATCCAACAGGGTAGTTTTTGTACACCCCCGCCCCCCCTCTTGTGTACATCGTTGTGATAGTCCAGGCTCCTGTCAGCAGAACCCCCCTCAGCAATGATACCAGAATGTGGTCATTCAGGTGCCTCTAAGCAGCACCGAACTCTGCAAAGGCTACTCCATCCAAGTAGTATGGAACCCCAAAATGATACTGGGAGTTCTTTTCCTGTGGGCCTATGCTGGGTAATTTCAATACCATCATTTTGTCCTTAGCTTCTCTTAGATACTTTAAACAGGCACCCGGGCTTGCCAAACCAGGACATCACTTGCATTGATAAATGTTAAGCCCTAAAACCCTAAACCCTAAGCCTTAAACCGAGGCGCTTTGGCTTAAGCTCCGTCTTTGCATGTGCAAGTGGTGGTTTGGCGATGTACCGGCTAATCACCTTCGCGTTATTTTTCAATGAGGTTGATAGTTTGGATCGTAATACCTCGGCGTC